AGATGATTTTCAACCTGTCAGTGAAGATCTTTGTGTACTTCAGACGTGGTTTTTGTCGGTAATTCACTGACATGGCCCAAATTGTAAAACATTTTCCTGTATTGGCAGGCGTGATGTTTGTCGGTGATCAACTCAGACCTCGAGGCCCCTCAATCTGTGCAGACGTTATGCTTATCGGTAATTTACCAACGTGGAACCAGAGATGTTTTCCGGTGAACTGTTCCAGTTCTTTCTTTGCAAGATGTTTCTTGTCGGTAATGAGTGCATTTACCAACATGATTTTCATCTACGTCGGTGATTGAATTACTGAGTTCTTTAAATTTGGAATTCATGATTTATAAAGCATTTGAACCTTTTTGTCTTTCTGTGTTTTCCTTCAGATATTTGCCTACTCCATCAAATGTTCGACTATGGAAGCTTGACTGGGAAATGAGGAAATCTCTACTGCAGATGATTAAGAGTAGGGTGCAAAATTTCAAAACCAATATTGGAAGTTCTCTTGATTGTTGTTTTGGAGATGATGTTACCTGGTGTGATGATAGCGTCTTTAGAAGCCACTCAAGCGAAAGGGGAGCTCAAATTGAACATGAACGAAATTGTGGACGAGTGCAAAACATTCTTCTTCGCAGGATATGAAACTACATCGACACTGTTGATTTGGACCGTATACTTGTTAAGCAAATATCAGGAATGGCAAGAAAAACTCAGAGAAGAAGTGTTGAAGGAGTTCGGAGGCAGAATTCCAGGTACTGATATGTTGGCCAAGCTAAAACTAGTAAGATATCATACATTTTTGTTCTTCTCAATGAATTGCCTCAATTTCCAAAGATTGATCATCCTAACAATCATCTTATTAGGTGAACATGGTTCTTTTGGAGGCCTTGAGGCTGGATGGCCCATTGATAGCCATGGAAAGAGAAGCATTAGAAGACATGACACTGGGGAATTTAAGGATTCCAAAGCATACACATTTAGTCATGCCACTTGTCATTATGCACAGAAACAAAGAATACTGGGGAGAAGATGCAAGTGAATTCAATCCCCTGAGATTCATAAATGGGATATCCAAAGCAGCAAAGCACCCAAATGCTCTTATTGCCTTCTCAATCCGTCCAAGCCCTTGTATATGTTGGTGGCCAACTTTGCTTGCCTTGATACTCCAAAGGTTTTCTTTCTCCCTTGAGTACAAACATGCACCAGCCGACTTCCTTACCTTACAACCTCAGCACAACCTCCCTGTTGTCTTCAAACCTCTAAATATGTAGGAGCGTGTAGGAACATGTATTAAAATTAAAGTAGTCAGCCTCCTGTGTTATTTATGATAAATTTGACTACTTGGATTAGGCTTATTTTATCAAATTAGCTTCACCCTATCCAGTATATATCCCCCATATGGCTTTTGTAAAAATTTTATTACATGTTTTATTGTACCTAAGTTGAGATACTTATACTGTGGAGAATTTGTATACTATATGATTCTAATCTACACTATAAATATATATATATATCGTCATCTACTAGTAATAGGGACTTAATTAAGCCCATCCATCCTCGAAATATAAACTTGCAAACCATCTCGGCTTCCTTCGCATCCCAATGCAATAGTCTACATACTCCTAAATTCTGTTTCGTTATCTTGTTTCAGTTGGGAAACATTTTCGGTTGAACGAGCCATTATTCTCCAATCAAATCATAAAAATAAAATAAAATACACAATTATGGGGCATGACATAAGAGGAGATATCATACTTTCATCAAATTTTGTCTAAAATAAAAAATTATGGGGCATGACAAACAAGAAGATATCATACTGTCATGAACTTTTGTCTAGATGAAACAAGCTACTAATAAACTAATACTTAATGACGACTCTCTCTCTAAATTTTAGTTATACCCTTTTCAACTCACACTTACCAGAGAAAATTGATAAAAGTAGAGATATAAAAGATGTCTTTGCTTCATTTTACAGCGTTTTTCTGCAGAGTCCGTTTTAATTAATATTTTGAGTGTATAACACTTTTAAAAAATAATCATATCGAACACTAACTAGTTTCTAAAATTATAGGAGAGTCCAAAAATTAATGACATTCTAACACTCAGGACATCCATCATAATTATCCATTGAATGGATTCCAAGGATAAGGTTTATTCATGGATGATTGTGATTAACGTCCTGAGCCCAAGCCATCTTAATTTTCATCTTCTTGAAATTATAAACTGTACACATAAAACCATCGATAAGGGGAGGGGCTTTAACCTTTGATGAGAGACTTTTTTGTATATCTATGGATTGGTGCCAGGTCTAAAGTAAAAGGAGACTTCAAGTTGAACCTGAATGAACTAATGGACGAATGCTAAACATTTCTCTGTACATGACATGAGACCACCTCCACATTTTTTATCTGGACTATGTTCATTTTAAGCAAACATCAGAAATGATGGATAGACTATGGACCTAATTGGTTAAAGGATTAACTTTATTAGGAAAATTTTTATTAAAAAAATAATTAAGAAAGTATTATACAAAAAGTTAATAAATATTGTATAAAAAGTTGATAAATTTCATACATAGTGAAGTTTTTTTGAAATTTTGTTAAGTTGTTAACCTTTTTTATCTTGGATAAGAAATTCTTTTGGAAAATAATGAGTATATCATCCAATTCAATGTACCCGTCAACACCTACCAATTCAACGTACATGTTAACATTTACCAATTCAACTATTAAAATCTATAGTTGAAATTTTCTTTTCTTGAATTCCAATTTGAAAACGACAATTTTTTAATGAGTGTGTTACAAAGTGCATTGAGTTAAAGAGCATACCAAACTACCAATCATTGCCATTCTTATTATAGATAGTATATTTGGATTAATAATTGAAACAATTACAATGGAAACTATACCTCACTATATAGGCTATGCAGGAAGTATAAATAAATTAGAAAGAACTTACAACAATAACATATAAAGTTAAATGTTCTTTACAGACAAGATAATTAGAAATTGAGAACCTCTAAATATTAATATACATCATAGGAATATTAATAGAATTATGTAACAACATACAAAGATTATTTTGGAGATTACTGTCACTGCTAATAATTTCATCTATTTTACCATCCAATCCCAGCAAGGGAGATCAGAGGACTTAGCAATGCAATGTCTCTCAACACCATGATGCTTTGTCCAAACTCAAGTGATCCATTAACTAGTAGATGGATGAAAGGTATCCACCTGCATGGCAAGTGCAATGCTTGATCTATCAAGTCTTACTTTGGATGCCTTACTATCATTGAACACTGTAAGAACCATCTTCCTCTTCTGCTTCCATTTTGCATTCTTGCTTTGTGGTTGAACTAGATTCCTTCCAAGCCTTTTCCATGTCTTCTTCAAACTGTACTCCTTTCTCTTTGCCAAATTGGCTATGTGACAAAGGGAAACATCCCCCGTAATGGAGTCCTAAATCAAGAAAAGTTGAAAAAAAACTTTTTCCTTTAAAAAATATAGGAAAAAAAATTTACAAATTGAGAATTTTGTTAAGGAAAATAAAGACTAAAAATATCATTTTTACCATTTTTTAATTATAATATTAATGTGTTAAAATACGTAAATATCCTTTTAAAAAAAAGTTTAGAAAATTTTTTTAAAAAAAATTTCCAAACCAAACAGCCCCTAAAAGTAGATGGGGGTGAAACCATGAAGGTTTGCGGGATAGAAATGTTGACTAAACATTTTAGTTTAGAGTTTTAATAGTTATAACTCAATTAATAGTTATAACTCAATTAATTTGAGGATTTAAAACTATTAATTTAACTTCGACTAAGGGTGCATTTGGGATTGTGGTTGGGGATTTTTTCGTGTAACTGTACAGTGCTTTAAGATATATGTGTATTTGGTAATTTTTTTAGATTGTTTTTTCTAAAAGTTGCAGGAAGTCATAACAAATCTATAGTAATTATATATATAAAGCCACAAGCTTCATTTTGGAATTTTCTGACTTTGACTTTTATAAAAAAAACAATTAATATTTAATATAATTATAAAATCACTCATTAAAACTCAATTTCATATAATTTAATTACATTATAATTTATAATATTTTAATAATAGTAACAAATTTAAAAAACCTAAATTATTTAAAAAAGTAAATATTATTTATTTTAATAATTATGTATTTTACAATATTTTTAAAATTTTAATTAATAATTAATAAAATTTATCATATTTCATCTATAATACTTTTAAGAAATAAATATTTTAAGAAATAAATAACCAAATACCAAAATAATTTTCAACCATAGTTACAATACAGTATAACACAATTCAGTACAATCACAGTACTTCACAACAATCCCAAACGCATCCTAAATTAAAAATAAAATATATAAAAAAATTCAAGGACCTTAGTCAATTGGCTCGATTCCATTTTTTTTATATAAATAAATACAATTTTGAGAAGAGAAATTTGACCTTAACACTTAAAATTATATATATATATTTTTTAAAAAAATTATAATCAACTATACTTCTAGCACATGTGCTCGTTAACCTGATTCAATTGCATTATTCAGAAGATGCTAACCCATAAAATAGTGCTCACTCAGACTTGTGTTAATTTTTGAATAAAGAGATGAAGATCTGATAAGTGCAAAAATGAAATTTTTGTTGAACAAATCTGCTCTTTACAAGGAAATAAAACAAATTGATACAAACTAATAAAAACTGAAAGTTAACTACACTACATTCATAAAAAACAAACTGATCAAAAACAACTAAACAACTGCTACAAACTGTAAAAGAATGTGACAACGTTTGTGTCACTATCAACATCCATTCCTTACATTACTGTTTTCACTCCTCCTTCACACTAATGCTGCTTATCCCAAGCTTTTCTCTTAGTGTCTCAAATCTGCACTTGTGCAATCCTTTAGTGAATATATCAGTAATATGGTCATCTGAATCACAATGCAAAACCTGAACTTCACCTTCACTAACCACCTCCTTGATAGAATGATATTTGATCTTGATATGCTTGGTTTTACCATGAAGAAAAGGATTCTTAACAATTGCAATAGTAAATAAATTATCACAAAACAACTCAATAGGATGTATTTGAGGTTGTTTTAAATCATTCATTAGTTTCCTGAACCATACAGCTTGATCTGCAGCAAGAGAAGCAACAATGTACTGAGCTTTTGCCTTTGACTTGGCAACCGAGTCTTGCTTCTTAGAACTCCAGCTAATCACCCTTGAACCAATAGAAAAACACTGTCTTGAGGTACTTTTCATGTCTTCCTCTAAACCAGCCCAATCATTATCTATGAATCCAATTAGCATCACATTTGTTGAACTTTTATAAAGAACACCAAAACCAATTGTTCCCTTCACACACCTCAAGATCCTTTTGGCTACCTTGAAGTGTATTTCACTGGGAGAATGCATAAACCTAGACAAAAGGCTCATTGAATGCATTATATCAGGTCTAGTTGTTGATAAATATAACAATCTCCCAATTAAACTCTAGGAAACTCCTGCATCAATTTTAGCTATGCCATCATCACTTCTTAACTTCTCACAAGGAACCAAAGGTGTGCTGACTCTTTTACAATTAGCCATTGCAAACTAATTCAGAATCTCATTAGCATATTTCTTCTGACAAATGAATATACCTTGACTAGTTTGACTGATTTCCATTCCAAGAAAGTAGGACATTTTCCCTAAGTCATTCATTTCAAATTCCTCCTTCATTTCAACTTTAAACTGCTGGATCAACTTCTCATTGCTGCCAGTGATGAGAAAATCATCCACATAAATTATAACAATCAATAAATCAGTTCCCTTTTTCTTTGACATAAAGAGTGACTTCAGTAAGACTCTTTACAAAACCTAATTTCAGCAAATATTCATCTATTCTACTGTACCGAGCGCTAGGAGCCTACTTAAGTCCATACAAAGCCTTTTTGAGCAAATAGACTTTGTTTGCAGTACCAACTTTAACAAATCCATCAGGTTGCTCCACATGTATTTCTTCTTTCAAATAACCATTCAAGAAAGCAGATTTAACGTCAAGTTGGTATACAAACCAGCATTTCTAAACTGCTAGTGCCAAAAGTAATCTGATGGTATCAAACCTGGCCACTAGTGCAAATGTCTCACAAAAATCAATTCCTAGGAGTTGTGAGTATCCCTTTACTACAAGCCTTGCTTTGTGCTTGTTTATAGAACCATCGGGATTAAGTTTCACCTTATAAACCCACTTAACACCAATGACTTTCTTATTATCTGGTTGATCCACAAGTTGTCG